GCCACACACCAAAGCGCTGTTTCAGCAGCTCCATGTTTCCATCTCCTTGAGCTTCCTAACGCAGCCTGTAGGCACTATCTGAGGAGGTATTTTCCTCAAGGTACCAGTGATCACTTTACAAGAACAGAATTTAAAAAAAAAAAAAAAAAAAGGAAATTAAAAAAAAATCTTAAGATTAACTATATTGCTACATGACTTTTGTGAATACAGCTCTGCAGACACAGGTGGCTGACACAACAGCAGCTCGTGACAGTGCCTCGTCCTGCTCTATACGCGACCACCAAATCCCCGCGAGTCCGCTTACCTCAAAGGTTGCTCTGGGACAGGGTTTTAAAGGGAGGTTTGACCCGATCCTCCTGACAACGCTGCGTGCTGAGCCATGGGGTTTGTTCTGCCAGATGGGGATCGTCTACAAGAAGACATGTGATATAATTAATATTTCAAGTCACTAGCCCTTCTTAAAATTTATTAAATTAGAAATTGCCCTATACAATCTACTCAAGAGCTCCGATCTCCGACTTTTTATTTGTTGAGTGATACTTTTAATTGGAAACCTTCTAATAACTAAGGCCCCGATTCCATAAAACTGTGTTTCAGCTGAACACACGTGAAAGTCAGCCAGTTACTAAGGAGCATTTTAAGGAGCATTTTAAACACAGGTGTAGTTATTTTCAGGACTGAAAACTAAAAGCACTCAGTGACAGACGCTGAGCTCCCAATGAAAACACGCCAAAAGGAGGAAAACAGCGTCATGTGAGGGGCCCAGAAGAAAATTTAAATCAGAAGAGAGTCTCATTTAAAGGACACTCTCACTTCCACAGGATCTTTAATACAAGCAGCTCTGATATCAAAGACTGGGAACGTTTCTTGGATAACGGCAAAGCGACAAGTGTACTCGAAGCCCATCCCAACTGAGGGCTGACAAGAAGAGCCTTGGGGGATGTTTTCAGGGGCAGCGACTGTTTTAGCGATCTCTGGATATTTCTGAAACCGATTCAAAAGGTGAAGTTCTCCGTCCTTTGACCGTCTTCCCCGCCGCCAGTTTTACGTCCGCCACAGGCTCTCATGACAGGAGGCAGCGCAAGGCTCGGGACAGCGAATACCACAATGACAAACCGGAATCCAAACAGGTTATTTTGCTCAGTCCGCCAACAAATCCATTAATTTATTTATTACCAAGGCTTCTTACACACGCAATACCTGAACGTCGGTTTTACACCCTTAAATTTCCAATTCTTGATGTGCATTTT